CAGAGCCCTTAGGGAGTGCCTTGAGGCTTCTTCCGAGCGCAGGACACAATAGAGTCGGGAAGACGATGACGAGCAGATTCTCTTGCGCTGAAGTCGAATGAATCATGCGTTCCTCTCGACCACTTCACTGTAAGCAGGAGTTTGCTGCATCCAGAACTGCCCTTGGCGCACAGCAGTGCGGTGAAGTAATCTGGGACTGCTTTTCCCCTGAACTCCTGTGTTAAAAGCAAAATGACGCAACGTATAATTGACCGAGTCTCCCACCTGGGCATGGAAGCACAATCATGCTTGTTTTTTTTCTCTCTGAGTATAAAGGTCTCTGTTAATTTTCGTTTTCCAGCTCACCCGTGGAAACATTCTGCCTCTTATTCTTGCAACGCTGTGGGTCAACAGGGATCCTACAAGACCCGATAGGATTAGCATCTCCACACGGCGACTACTGCAGTACTACTATACAGAGATATGCGTTGCATTGCAGCACTGGTTTAAATCTCACTGTTTGGGTTGCTTCTTAGTCAGGATGATTCACGTGTATTATTAATACAGTGATTCAGGAGGTACAAGGAGAATTCACACTCTTCCTACAACATTATCGGAGTCTTTTTGTTATTTTCCTGGAGCTTGATGCTCTGCCTCTTACCCAGTACAGTAAAAATTAATTTCATGCCCCAGTTCATTCCTGTGTTTCCAATTTCAAAAGCTTTTAAGCCCTCTTCAGCTGCCTTGCTAGGTCCTGTTCCCCTTTTGCTCAGGTCCATTTTGGTTCAGGTACGTATGCAGACAGAGAGTGAGAACGGTTCGTTTTGTATGCTATATCTGCCATGTGATCCGAGGCACTGCCAAAGGCTTGACCTATCTTAAAGCTGTTTACAGTCCTTTGGGGGAATGCCTGTCTAAATACCTGCTTTGTTAAAAGGAAAAGGCCTGCCACTCCATCGTTTAGGAGGAAGAAATAAGAGAGCAGTAAAAATTTTAAGTGGCCCTCATTCTAATGAGACCCTGCAGAGGGTTGCCATGCCATCTTTGCAGCAAGCAGCTAGCTAACATGCATGACTTGCCACGGTATTAATATCATCACAAGTCGACGGACTGCTTCAAGACCCTGAGCTGCCCCTAAAGATTATCCAAAAGCCAGGGTCCTAAGCTGAGTTTTAGGGGAACAAAACCTGCTAAGGCAGAGTGACCCCAGGTAAAACA